TGAATCACTATTTTGAGACATATGTGCGTCTACAGTTGGAGAACATTTCACGTTTAAAAACTAAAAATTTGCGTTTACCTTTAACGTGTTTGTTTTTAATTTGTTTACTGTGACTTTAAGACGTCTGAATAAAGTTTTATTTCCTAAAACATATGGATACTTCGCCCACAGAAGCCGTCCAAGTGGTGGTTCATAGTCTACAACCGCTATCGAGAGACTGGTATGTTCACGCGTTGTTCTGGATCTGGCAGGAATCGGGTCACTTCCGAGAGAGATGATCGATTTATTGAATCAACTTCTTTAACGACATCGGCACCTTAATGCATTTCAACTGCAGCAGCAGCTTCAAGTTGTACGAAGGGAGTAAGTGACTCTACAATTAGAAGAATGGACTGAAATTAACTGCAGACCATCGAAGAGCGCACCTTGACTTTGCACGCGAGCACCTAAATTGATCACACCTCCAATGGACCAAAGTTCTCTTCTCTGATGAATGTAAAATCATGCTCTATGGTAACGACGGAAGGAACAAGGTCTACAGAAGAGATGGAGAACGTTTTGCACAATGCTGCATTGAAGAAAGGGTCAGTTATGGTGGTGGTTCGTGGACGGTTTGGGGAGGAATCAGCGCCGACGGTAAGACTTGCCTTCGTATCTGGGCCATGTCTACCTGCTTTGAACTGTCATCGGTACGTGGAACAGTGCATAGAGCCTCACGTGATGCCCTATGCACACTTTATCGGCAACGGGTTCACATTTATGCACGATAACGCCAGAGCCCACACCGCGAGCGTCGTACGTGATTGCCTTACCGAAGTCGGTATCTCCATAATGGAATGGCCAGCAAGGAGCCTGGACATGAATCCAATTGAACATCTCTGGGATCAACTAAAGATGCAAATCCGGGCGAGAGATCCTGCCTCAGACTCACTTGACCAGGTGAAAAGTGCCATTCAGGAAGAATGGGACAACATCCCACAGCATGTCATCGTAACTCATCCGATCGGTGAAAAACCGGATGGAAGCGGTGATAGGCGGGAACACTAATTATTAAACATTATTTAATAAAAGTTTTTCAGTTTTTTTTTCACCTACGTGTGTTGTTTCATTCATTGCCTTCGTTCTCCATACAAAATAAAAATGACTCGTTAAAGAAAACATGAGACCTATGAAAATTTAATTTGAATTTAGAACAATAACATTAGAATTTGAAAACCTCATAAAACTCACTATTAAGCGACATTTGATATTTATTCGTAAATAATAAAAAACTGATAATACTTACAAAACATAAACTTGCAAGGTGTTTCGATTTTTTTGATGAGAAGTATATATATTTAAATGGTTAAACGAACTTACCTTAAGTGAACTTCAACCATAATTATACGAAGCTCCTTGTCCTAGACATTCTTAACAATTGTAGTACGCAGTATTTCATGCCAGCATCACAATTTATCCAAGCTCGCTAAAAAAAACTTAAGGAACAGTATATATGGCAACACTGTATCAACCCGTCCGTCAATGCAATTTCATTATGTTTAAAGTAAGGAATGAGATGAGCAACCCTAACCCAGGGAGGGTTGGGCCGGGAGTACCGTCTAGGACAAGGACCTTCGTATAATTATGGTTGAACTTCACTTAAGGTAAGTTCGTTTAACCACTTAATTATGCTCTCACCTTGTCCTAGACATTCTTAACAATTGTAGATGTTTGAAGACAGGGTTGCGAATTTATAATAACAATAAATGGCAAATTGCAATTTTCCTTATTTTATAAAAAATGTTGAAGATGTCTGTATATCATAAATTTAAATTAATAACACAAAATAAATTATCTTTATTTTATAACATTTCCTTATGCACATAAGGCCAGCTTGATTGCAGCAGAAATGGCCCTGTAGAAGAATTATGACTGCAAAAGAAAATTTGTGTTCTGTTTTCTATTAAAATATTCACAAGAGAGGCTCAACCCCTTCTCATTTATTTTTTCCCATACAAATCCTGTTGAAGTGAAATTCTATCTATATCTTACCTATACATCTGAGCTCCCTTTAAATAAATGTAATGTTTGTTGAAGGACAATGTACGTATATTATAACCTGTAACTCATCACAGCTCATCTTGTTACTAGTTTTTGTTAATTTCTGTAATCTCAATATTTATTGCAATATTCTGTTGTTAAATAATCTAAAAGTAACTTATTATTAAGTCTATTTTTATAACTCAAATCTAAGTAAAAAGTACAAAAGCCCAGTAAGGAATTTAATTACACTTACTACAATTTGGTACGATAGAGAATTAATAATTTTATTATTTTATAATTTATAGTATTTGACATAGGAGGGTTCACTATAATTCTTAGTATGAATTTTGGAGTAAATCTTGGAGTGCCATATTTTATAAAATGCTTCACTAATAGTAACCTATGATTTGTATGAGATGGCTGTAACATGACACAGTAGTATAATTATCATTATATAGGCAGTGTTATTAATAATTTGTTATTTCATTCAAAGTAAATAATTCATTTTTTTACATTTACTGCCCATGTGAAAAAAACTAAAACCTATGGTTTTTTGACTCAATTGTTTTTTTTTTTGACATCATAGACATTAGAGGAAATACATAAAAGAAGAATCGTCCCCCCATCTAATATAACTGCCATGGTGTCTGGGTCATTTCTACAGAACCCCATCGTTAAGTATATAATAATTTTATTATTTCTCGTTACTATTTTGATCAATTTTTAGCTTTTGACACCTCTTTATGATTTTGTTTTTTGACTTGAAAGACTTCCTCTGACTGTTCTTTGTTTACTTGGCTCAATTTTAGATTGTATGTTTAATTTCCATATTTTTATTTAATTTAAAGTATTGACTCCTCAATAATTAATGAATAGAACCCTCTCTATCTTGTTAATATACGAAGCAGGGGTTTTATCAACTCTGAGTAAAATTGTACACCATAAGTATTATTTAGTTGTAGTAAGTTTATTATTCATTATAACTATATTGTTTTGCTTAAAGTTTTGTATTGTATTCTACCATTTCCAAATGTATAAGTATATACTACTTTCAAATCCAGTAATATCTATGTAATTTCTGCAACCCTATCTCCTCCGTATTATCCTTTCTCAATTTCTCCAATATTGTCCGAAACAACCTGTATGTCAAAAGCGGGAATCATTTTACCCCTTAGAGCATACATTACATGGAGGGAGCACTGTGTGAGCAGAAAGCGTGATCGGTGCTCTAAGGTTTAAGTAGAGTCTGTCTCTCTCGCACATGCTTCTGATTGGCTGGCGTGTTTTCCACCGTTGCATCGCGCGAGCGCATGCCCAATGAAACAGCCAATGACAGTGACTGTGCGAGAGAGACAGACTCTACCAAAACTCAGTCTCTCTCTCTCTCTACGCCGATCACGCTTTCTGCTCACACAGTGCTCCCTCCATGTAATGTATGCTCTAAGTTTTACCCAATGACTGATAATGGCGACTGCCCAACTAAACACCCAAAGATGAATTGAACACGAAGGTAAGAAAAACATTAATATATATCACTTAAAATTTCTCAACATATATCTCTACACATATTATTTCTCAACCACACTTATAGGTTAGAATAACCTATTTACTATTTCATATTATATGAGTGACGAGGTTATGTTATTAAACCTAATGGTGAATTTATTCGATAATTTATCATACTTGTAAATAAATGCTTCGATACACAGTGAATTTGATTTTATTATTTAATAAGTGTTTTAATTTTATAAATTTTTTTTATACACGTGCACCTACCTCGAACAATAAGATTTTTGTTTACCTTTGATCGGTTGGCTCCATTTTGAATATCTACCTTTCCCAAGTACATAATCCAATTATTATCACGCAGATATGTAATAAATTTATTTGTAGTAGGTTTTGGATACAAAACATTTGATTTTAGACTAAACATATTTAATTATAAAAACACACCGTGACGGCTGGCAGAAAAAAACGTAATGGAATTGCATTGACAGACGGGTTGATACAGTGTTGCCATATATACTGCTCCTTAAATTTTTTTAGCGAGCTTGGATAAATTGTGATGCTGGCATGAAATACTGCGTACTACAATTGTTAAGAATGTTTAGGACAAGGAGAGAGTATAATTATGTACTATGTAATGTTTATTTATTTAAACTTCGTTGCACAAAAACGAACAAAGTCGAACTTAACGTCTTAAAGATTTCTCTATCAGTCAACTTATAGCTAAGCAAGAGCGCTAAACTACTTTGGAGTTGCAAAAAGATTGGTAAGAGAAATAATTGAAAATCAACAAAATAACTTAATGAAAATTAACTGAGTATGTGTATCACCTATACAATCACATATTAATAAACACATACACACTATTTTATGTGTATATATATATATATATATATATATATATATATATATATATATATATACGTATTATAGTTAGATATATACGTATTATATCATCATCATCATCAACATTACAGCCATTTACACCACTCCAGTCCACTGCTGAACATAGACCACCCCCAAGGAATGCCACAAAGCACGGTCCTGAGCCACCTGCATCCATCGACTTCCTGTATTATCCTTTATTTCCTTTCTATGTATCACTATATTTATTTCTATCTATTATATTATATGTATTACATATAATATAATATAAATGTAGTATACAACAAAACAGTATGTATAATAACGTTAATTTTGTTACTGATTAAAAGACGCTTGAATTCTTTAGCTATTTTCCTGTTATATAAGAAGAACGTTGTTAAAATAAAAATGTTTAAAAATGTTTACAATTTTATAAAAATACTTTAGGATGTTGTTTGGTAAAGGCGAAAACTAAAACCTGTGTATTTATTTATATTTTTATTTTGTTACTGTAAAATTTTATTGTATTAATTTGAGAATAGTGTGCCACATTTGACATAATTATCTAAGGTACAGATGAAGGTATATGTAGGGATTTGAGCAAATCATTAGACCACCGCAGCGCCGGCTACTCCGGGAGCGATGAAACGACCGCCCCACCCAAAGCCATTTACGACAGTTGGACCAGCGACCACAGTCTGTAAGAAAGAATCGTCAATTTAAAAATATGTATAACTAAATAAGTTATCTTTTAACTTATTTTCTATCCATTCGTTTTCAATTTAGATGTCCTGAAGAGAAGAAGCATTTTCTGAGTTAGTGCGATCTCCATAACCAACCTTTTTATAAAAATAAAGGTGACAAACAAGCACACCGTCTTTTTGAGGGTAAGTGGATTGTGTGGCCCATAGACACGCACGTCTATCACTAACCAAAATACAGATGCGCCACAACTCTGAGGATTAAGATGGAATGTCTTGTTACCATTAAAATAGGACTCCAACTAGTTCTCGCCACTCACCATTATTCGTTGCAGCGAGGATTTACTACTTTAACACTTACCATTAAGTAAAATCGTAGTGAAAGACTGGCATATAACTTACGGGTATCTATAAAAAAATATTGCCCAGCTCTGACACTGACTTACACTTATTCGCCTAATTCTTCTGCGTTTGATACAACACTTATAGGAAAAATATAAAATAGGCTAAGACGCAGTATCAGATACAATATAACTTGAAAAATATACAAGCCACAAAGTCCCAAATGTGTTGAAACTAAGCAAACTATAATTTAAATGCTGTAAGAGTCAGGGTAGCGCAGGAATTAAGCGTTCGCCGTAAAATTCAAATCATCAACGACGGGTTCGAATCCGTCCGCACCAATTAAATTCTTATTAGCAATTTAAGTACTGATTTATCATGTAGCTGAGCAGGTTAATATTATATTAGTCACCATCAATGGTGAAGAACCTCATGTAATATGAGAAATAAAATATTTCTAAAATATATGAAACTCTCCAATACGCATTTGAACAGCGCAGCGAAGTCATTCATTCTCAGAACACTTTCAGAAGTGAGGGTAGGCAGCACCTAGGATTACGAGGTTGGTCTAGTCGTCGTAAACGTGGTTACTGATCATGAGGTCTTGGGTCCCAGGTCGGTCCAAAATCAGTTACTGGGTTTTTCCTGCCAAGAAATTCTCAGTAGCAGCTCAAATCCAGGGAGGTGACGGTGTTTCACCCCCGTACCTCGGAAAACACGTGAAGCCGTAAGTTCTGTGCCTTATCTCTATCCGGTCGTGTCGAATAACCGTCCCATCGGAATATGATAGTTAGGGAATAGAGAGTGCACCTGTGTTTGTAAATACCATGTTAAAACTGGCCGCCGCCGTGATCCAAATTCGGTCTAGAGGACTTTATTAGGATATCGCTATAGATTACTATTAGGATGTAATTTTTACTACAAAAATTTTCAATTGTAGAGAGGGTACTACAAGTTTTGACCAAAACAATACGTCTTGTTAAGAATTACTCCACATGATTTATCCGAACTTTTTTCTGTCTCTCTCCTTAGCTTTTATTTACGAGTAATATTTTGCACATGTATTATAATATGTATCCCACGTTATTTTATTTTTGGACTCTATTATTTTCCGTATTAAAAATATTTGTATATTCTCTTAACATTTCCGAAACTGAAATACATGCTCGGATATGAGCATGCATTTCTTGAAAGAACCACTGGACATACGGACCTGATGCTACGCAAGCATTTAAGTAAGCACAGAATTCCATCCATCATTTATGAAGTATAACAAAGAAACTGCAGTCTACCTAATAGTAAGTGACTACTGCAGTTCATAGTTACCTGCAGCCAACATCGAAGGAAGAAGTCTTTAGATGCGTTGTCACCTTTAAGGACCAAGGTGAAATGCCTCACAGCCTATAAATAATTATACTTGCACTCAATACCCTTTAGACCCAAACAGCAGTATAGGCACTGCTATTTGACAGGAGAAATATTTAAGACTGTCTTACTCGTATCTGTAAATTTAGGACCATTTCTATGTTTTCAACACCAAATTTCGAATTCGTCGAATTTGGCCAAGAGAATATAAATAAAGGCCCATTTTTTAATGGAATACACACACTATTCATACTTTGTTTCCATATTAGTTTATGAGTACATGACTAGAACAGGTTACTTACTCTAGAGGCATAAGGGGCATACGGAGACACAAATCCAGGCCAGGAGAAGAATTGGGGAGCTGCAGTAGCCAGCGCCACGAAGCAAAGCACGAAGAATACCTGAAATGAAATTAAAAAGAAATGAAAATAATATTCTGCATTCTCCTTTATTAAGGATTCACCGGTGTAAGGGAATCCTCTACCTTATATTATACCGTAGGTGTCTTAAGAAGTGACACAGTGAAACTGACATCGGATATACGCAAAATATTCCTGATAAGTATGTGGCAACTATGACAATTCCATGATCTTGTAAGGCAATCTAAAGGGTAATGTATACTTACTATATTATTAATTCACTACACAGAGGTATTGTTACACGCAAAATACGCGCTTAGACGTGGTGTTGCTGAAAACAGCCCGTCGTATACTAAACTAAACTAGGTATAGGTAGTGAATTAGTTGTATTAATACTATACTTATTTTGTGTGTATATGTATATATATATATATATATATATATATATGTGTGTGTGTATAAAGTAAGTAAAGTTACAGCCTATATACGTCCCACTGCTGGGCACAGGCCTCCCCTCATTTCTGAGAGGGTTTTAGGGCAAGGAAGTGTCCGCCGCGCTGCCCCAATGCGTGTTGGCGAACTTCACATGTCTTCGAAATATTTTTTTTCTTATTTCTCAGACATGCAGGTTTCCTTACGATGTTTTCCTTCAATGCCGAGCACGTGGTATATCAGCACTTAAAATTGCAATTAACAATTTCATTGGTGCCGGCGGGGATCGAACCCGGGTTTCTCGCGTTCTGTTATATTTACTGCGAGCGCTAACCATCTGAGCTACCACGGCTCTCTATGAAAATATATATATATATATATATATATATATATATTAATTGCTGTCCGTTAGTCTCGCTAAAACTCGAAAACGGCTCAACCAATTTCGAAGAATTTTTTGTGGGAGTTTGTTAAGGATAGAAAAGTCAAATTAATTAACACTTATCATATATCTTTCAAGACTATTAAACGAAAGAAAAGAAATACGTACGACGAATTTCATTTTGATGAGAGAGATGGATGGGGTAGATCTCACTAGAATTGCACGTAGGCCTTCTGAGTGCAAACTATGCCTCCCTGTTGATGACAGTAGCATATATACTAGCTTTGAAGGTTGCATACTAATACTGTAAGTCGTTAGCCTAAGTTCCCTTAAGGTCACATCTAATAATCTGAATATCTAATGAAAATACTTGTTTACAAGAAAACAGTTAAGTTGAAATGCGACAACCACTACATAAATCCAAATAAGGAGAACAATAATATATTATTAGATCAACTTCGATCAAATAAATAAATAAATATATATATATATATATATATATATATATATATATATATATATATATATATATATATATATATTTATTTTTTTTTGCCCGAAGCACCCTATACGTAGGGCTACCCTATACGTAGGGAGGCGGAAAATGCATTACGCATACCACGATAGCCGGTCTATCGTGGTTATGAGGGACTCACTGTTCTACCGGGGACCCTAAGTGATACCCTCTAAAAACCGCCTTTGGGGACAGGCAGCCGGCTGATTAAGCTGTATTTTGCCTTATTGTGAGCGACCATCTTTTGGGAAAAGAGGGCGCAGGCGGCTACGAGCCGCTGAGGGAGTGCCTACGAAGGCAAATTAATATTAGTTAATACAATAATTTAATTTAATTAGAGTTGGCCTGAGCCGCCATGAGGCAGTTCAGGTCGTTTGTCAGTTTATTAGGTGGGTCCGAGAGAGAGTTTCTCGGCCTGCGGACTCGATAGCGAGAGGGGGGTGGGGCTGCATAAGTAGCTGCCTCACGAATTAATTGGTTTGGGTGCGACTCTGAGGCTTTGAAGAAGTTCTTAGAGAGTTTTTTAAGAAATTGTTGAATTGTTGGGAGCTCTAGTTCCCGATGAAGGTCGGCATTACGGACGTACCAAGGTGCGTTCGCAGCTCGACGACAGAAAAGGTTTTGAATTATTTGGAGTTCATTAATAATATTAGGGTTTGCGTGGGCAAAGACGGGGCCCGCGTAGGACATGAGTGGTCGTATACAGACCTTATAAATGGTACGCTTGTTTCGAAGGGACATTTTACTGTATCGGCCCAACATACTGTTGAGCCTACTCAGATAAAACCGTGCGTGACGGGTTACTCTTTTGACGTGGGGCCTGAAAGTGAGCCCTGTGTCCAGAGTGACACCTAAATATTTGGCGGTCGTATGCCAGGGGACAGGGGTCCCTAGCATACGTATTGGTGGAGTGTTTTTGAGACGGCGTCGTTTATAGTCGAAGTGAACGGCGGAGCTCTTCTCCGGGTTCACATCGATGCGCCATTTTTTGAACCAAGCTCCTAGGTCATCAACTGACTTTTGGATCTTGTTCCGTATGAAGGGCGGTGAGACACCTTTGCAGTAGATAGCAGTGTCGTCTGCGAAGAGGGAGAGCTGAACACCTTTCGATGGGATGGGAATGTCGTTGGTGAACAGGATGTACAGCAGAGGAGCAAGTACTGAGCCCTGTAGGACACCAGCCTTGATAGTTCGTTGTGAGAATAGCGTGCCTTCGTGTCTAAAACGAAAGGTACGATACTCTAGGTAAGAGGCCACGAGACGTACTAGGCGATCGGGGAGACCTATTTTGTATAGTTTGTAGATAAGGCCTGTATGCCAGACCCTATCGAAAGCTTTAGCTATGTCGAAAAAGACCGCGATGGTCTTATGACGACGAGGATAGAAACCGCTGAGGATATATTCCACAATGCGGTGAACTTGTTGGGGACATGAGTGTTGGGCTCGAAACCCGAATTGATGGGGAATGATAAGAGGGTCACCGTCTGTGGGAAACAGATAGCGCCTCATACGTGATTGGATGACTCTTTCGAAGAGCTTGCCCATTGCCTTGAGGTGGCTAATGGGGCGATGACTGGAGGGGGAGGTTAAGAGGCTTGCCTGGCTTGGGAATTCCAATCACAGTTGCCTCTTTCCACGTAGTGGGAAAGTAACTAAGGTTGAAGCAGGCGTTGAAGATAATAGATAAAACGGTTAACACCTGCTGAGGAAAGTGTTTTAGGGCTTGGTTGGAGATGCCATCCGCGCCCGGAGCCTTTTTACGCTTAAGTCCTTTGATGAGGGATGAAATCTCATCATTGGACACAGAGATAGGTTCGGAGGCCGTAGGGGGTGAGTTCCGGCGGCGGACCTCATCCTCCACTGCCTGGACGTATGAGGGGTCGACGGGTTGAGAGCTAGGAGAGCATTGTGCGGCAATGCTATCTGCAAAGCACTCAACCTTTTCCTCGTCCTCGAAGGCAACCGTGCCGTCGGGACGGGAAATGGCCATCTGATAGTACGCTGTATGAGATGGAGAGATATTCTCCATGAGTTTACTCTTTTCGAGGTCTCGAAATTCAGAGAGGCGGAAACGGAGTTCTCGTTGAAGACGATTGGCCGCGCGCCTATATTCGGGGGTGGGATATTTTGCTGCTCTCTGGAAAGCAGCTTTTTTGGCTTTTAATGGGTTACTAATATGTAGGGGAAGCCCACTATTGTTAGCAACCGGGACGACCCTTTCGTTCTCCTTAAGGGAGGATTTAATAAGGGTGGAGAGTGTCGACCGTGTCGATTTTTTCGGGACTATCTAAGTCCGACGGTAGGGAGATGGTAGAGTCCTGTGAGTCCAGAGCTTTAGCTAGGGACTCCTTGAATCCTTTCCAGTTGGTGTAGGTTTTCGTGTGTGTTGGGGGAGATGGCTGATGGCCAAGAATGAGGGAGACCGGTCGGTGATCGGATCCTAGATCTTCTAGTGTCTCGATTGCTCTGAGGTTGAGAGAAACTCCTTGGAGTAACGCAAAATCTAGTACATCGGGGGGCGTGATCGGTATTATCGGGAAAGTGAGTAACACCGAGGGGACTATGGACGGTAATATCAAGAGACTGCGTGATATCGAGCAGTATCTTGCCACTAGGGGGACGTAGTACGGCATGTCCATTCAGTATGCTTGGAGTTAAAATCTCCAAACATAATGACTGAATTGCCTAAAGATAAAATGGCCTCAAAATCTTTTTTGAGGGGATGGGTTCCTGAAGGGATGTAATAGGAGGCTATGAGGATGGACTGATGTCCAGTCATAGCTAGCCTGCAAACTGTGGCTTCCATGTTGGTAAGCTGCGGAGTAGAAATGGGCGAGCAATGAAGTGTCTTCTTGTAATAGATGGCCGTTCCGCCGCCTCGGCGGTCGGGTCTGTCGTTACGAAGAAGAGAGAAATTTTTAATAGAAAGGCCTTTAGCGTCCTTGGTTTTGAGATTAGTTTCCTGTAGGAGGAGGAAATCGACTTCTCGATTCCGAAGAGCTTAAGCTCTGGGAGGTTATTTCGCAAGCCGCGAATATTGAATGATACAAGCGATAAACCCTTAGGTTTGATACGACCGTGAGATTTTGGTAGAGTAATTTGCACTGACATTGGAGTTAAGTTAATTAATTTAACTTAACTTACAACGCTAACAGGAGATTATTATGTTCTGCAAGAACGAGGAGACGTTCTTGGGGGGACTTCGCAGCGCGCAGTTTGCGTGCTACTACCGTGATTTCCCTGATGTCTATATTCCTGATAGCGGAATAAAGTGTGTTGTAATCATCAGGTGTGGGCTCTGCCTCATGGGAGTAGGAGGTTGTCCGCGGTGGGTCTGCCTTTTTGGGGCCCCAGGGAAAGACTGGAGCCTGCATAGGCTTGGAGAAGCCCGGAAGGGGCCGAATTATGCCCTGAGGGGGCCTAGGTGGACCCTGAGAGGGTCGAGAGAAGGATGGATGGATGAGAATGGCCCTGACGGGGTCGTTGGTGGAGGGCCGGGAATGAGCGGTCATTAACCGGCGGTGGAGCTTGCCTACTGGGGCGAGGTTGAGGTGCGCAGGGGCAACCTCTGTAGTTAGCCGGGTGTCCTGTCTGTTTGCACAGGACACATGCGGGCGGGGATTCGGCGTCTTTGGGCCGGGGACACTCTTTAGTGTTGTGGGGTTCGAGGCACTTAACGCACCTGGGTGGGGCGGAGCAGTTGGCCGCCGCATGTCCATATAGTTGGCAGCGGTGGCACTGCGCCGGGAAACCGCGCCTATGTGGGGGCTTGACCTTCACTCTCGACAGGCCACACACTGTGCGTACCTGCCGGAAGATGGCTTTAGCCTCCGGCACGTTGGAAAGGATGATTAGGGCCAAGTTGAATCTCTTGCCCTTACTGTGCATTTTATGCACGGCTTCACGGAAAGCCTTGGGACTTAAGGTCCTCAAGGATTTCCTCGTTAGAGAACTCGAAAGGGACGACTCGGATGACGGCCCTGACTTTACGCTCTTCCGGGAGAGCGTAAGTGTGGTAAGAGACTCGTTCGGCTGTGAAAAGCCTGGTGAGATTTCGGAAATCCTCGATCGAGCTGGGGATGATTTTGATAGCCTCCCCGAGGTTGACGGCATTGTCGTACTTGATTCCTACGTCGTAGCAGGTTTTCGACAGCTGGGTGAATTTTGCCTTGTCTCTTAGGAAGACAGGGGACGGGACTTGCTTCTTAGCAAGGACTGGAGTATATCGAGAGGATGGTTTTGTTGGAGTTGGGATGTCTAGTGGCATGAGTGGGACGGCGGCATCGGCGGGGGCTGCGGAGGTTGTAGGAGCGGCAGGGGCCGCTGAGATGGAGGGGGAACGCTTTAACGCGGCGCGCTTACCGTTGCGCTTAGAGTTAACGGTGGTAAATGTAGACTCCCCGGTTCCGTCGGAGTCACAGGACTCCGACGAACCGGAGCCTGAAGTGGTGGCGGGCCTCTTCCGGGAGGCCGACGCCGAGGACTCGGAGCATGCGTACTCCATTTCTAAGGGGGCAGACTCAAGGGCGGCAAAGGAGTTCCTCGTTTCGAGGTATGTCGCGATTACTGGCGGCGGATGGTGTGCCTGAGCGGCAGGGAGGGAAGCCTGGGCAGCGATGGTGGCGATGGCGGCAAGGACCGTCTGATTGCCGTTTAACCCATATTGGTTTATGAGGGCGGCTAGGGACTCAGTGAAGCTGGATGTGGCCATTTTGGGGCAGTAAGCTAAGCTCGGTAACGATGATGACGGGTCCCTGTTCTCGGTAGAACAGGGACTTCAACG